TCATACGCAATGGCCACAAAAAAAAACGTCTGGGCCGGAATTCTGCGAAACAAAATAATTGGCTCTATTCTTATTGAGAAAAATTTAATTGGTCAATTGTATTTAAACTTATTGCAAAATGTAATCGATCCACTCATAACACAGTCCTTAGAACGCCAAGTTGATGAAGAAGACAACCCGCTCTCGGATGAACAGAATTTACATTTTCAACACGACAGCGCACCGCCACACTACGCATTGCATGTCCGACAGTGGCTCGATCAACGGTATCCTGACGAATGGATTGGCAGAAGAGGCGCTCTGAAATGGCCAGCGAGATATCCGGATTTAACTCCATTGAATTTCTTTCTGTGAGGTTATTTGAAAACAATGGAATACAAAACTCCATCGCAGGACATTCAGGATCTAAGACCCAGGATTACTGACACATGCAGACAAATTAATAACGAAACATTTACAAAAGTCCGACAGGAATTCGGGAATAGATTGTACTTTTGCTTAGCTACCAATGGTGAAAATTTTGAACACCTAATAAAGTAAGATACATTTATTTAATTGCAATAGCTATTATTTTATTATTTATTATAATCAATTTTTTTTTTGCCCCATTTTACGAGAACGGATCAATCAATTTCAGTTTTCTAAACGGGTTTGAGTGAGTATTTTTAAGATCTTTAAAATGATGTGTTACAAGATAGGGGGTGCCATTCAAAATTATTAAGTGGGGGTAGCTAGGGGTAAGGGGGTTAAACCTAAAATACCACTGGCACTGGTTTTAAACTTCCCCCTCGATATCTAAATTGAAGTGTTTCTTGCTTCTGGAAAATTCTCCCTGCTAAACGAAGTACTAGAGGTGGAAAGTTTTGAAATGAAGGCACCGTATAGTATACCCTTTCAGTACAGATGCACTGTTTGGAAACTTTGCTATAGTAATGAATATTACTGGAGTTTTTTCCCAACACCAAACCGTTATTTTAACACCTCGACACGTGTTTCGATCAACTTGATCGGCTTGGCAACTGTACAGGATAATCAAATAATAGAAATATCATGTAATTCAGCTTCAAAACGTAATTTCAAAGAATCTTCTTCATCAAGTTATTGGATGAATTCAGAAAAAAAAATATAATGAATTACCAGAAAAATCACTGAACCATTTACTGCTTTTCTCATCCACATACCTCTGTGAAAAGGCATTGTCTGCTCAAATACAGGAACAGATTACAATTGGCATCCGATTTGAGATTACAACTGAGTAATAACATCAACCTAAATATTACTAATTTGGTCCAAAAAAATCACAGTATTTTAAATTTTCAAGAAATTTTTTTTTGCAGAACTAAAATGAATTGTCCGAAATTAATTTTTTGAGGGGGTTCTTGAACTTGTGCTTGATTTTCTAGAGATCAATGAACTTAAGAAGGTTAAGACACGCTGATATAGATAAAGAATAATGTGTCTTTTCCAAACTCGAAACAAATAATCTTTAATCATAGAGTAGGTGAATAACTTTTTTTAATGTAAGAAAATTAAAATAAATTACCAATATCCACGGGCTGGCTTTCTAGTCGATAGTGATGTCTTGCACCTTGGAAAATTTCACTGATCACAGTAATAGACTGTGCATTTTTTATGAAGAAGATCTTCCAAGGTCAGGAAAATTTGCCAATGGGTCATTACATAACAGAAACCATTAAAAACTTTTCTTCCATTGTATGAGGCCTTGCGTAAAATCAACCTACAGGACGTGTACCACTATAGAGGCTATTTGTGACCATCTCTGATACTAATTGTTCTGCAGAAAAATCATTTTCTGTTCTGGAATAGATAAAACATTACTCCCGCTCTACCATGTAGTAGACCTAAGCATCAAACAAATCAACTATAAATGTGGACTTTGAAAAGGTGACTGATTGTTTCTTTCGATGAAAACAATTGCAGTCTTCTTTTTGCAATTCGAATAAATCATTTCGATTTTGAAAAAACATTTTCATTCCCAAAATGATTGAGGCTTTCGCGGTCGAGTTTTTTCAGTGTCACTATTTTTCGGCTTTGAAAACCGTGGATTTTCGAATTTCTTTCTGACGTTTCGCTAGCGCGAGTGGCTAGCTTCCTCAGAGGTTTATTCATCTTGGCTATGAGTGGCTAGCATCTTCGCGCCAGCGAAGAAATTCTAAAAATCTACGGCCTTCGAACCCAAAAAATAGTGACACTGAAAACATTTTGTTTGGATAAAGTATACATTAGATATAATCAATTTTCATTTATATGCTACTGTATAATATAATGTGTGTGCATTGAAATGTCTAGGATTTCACTATCTCCTGTTATGAATGAAAATTAAAAAAAAATATTCGTTCAAGTTTCCCATAATTTTTCTAATGAGAAAAAAACAAAACCACAATGAAGACAGTGAAATTTATTGGTAAGAATTGATTAAATCAAGTATAGAAGAAAAACTTATGGCACGAAGAACCTTCTAGTCATTAAGAAAATAAAATAGGAGGGGAAAGAAGCTGAGAGTAAACCGGCAAAGTACCAGTCAGATCAATGAAGAATCAAATTTTGCCTCAAAATAATTTTCGACAAAGGTAGGACTCCATTGGCGCTTTCTGCATTCAAGGAGATGATTTTGGTAGTGGTGCTATCGCAGAGGCTGAGGGTTTGAATCCGCCTCTGGAAATTGTTGTACTAAGTCTAACGGGCCCAAATTATTAGTGTTCTGTATCTGTATCTGTAGAGTAGGGAGAGTGAGTGTAGGCCCATAACACTTGGCTACATGTGACCCATTGTACATCCTCCCGAAGAGTTGTTCTCCTAGGTCATCGTCCATCATGTCCTTTCCAGGAAGGTGGACAGATCACTGGGAGCATCTCCTTTATATCGGCAGGTGTAGGCCAAGACTCGCCGAAAACACACTCTCTTATCGACCATAACTCCGGACACTCGCATAGGATATGCCTGACAGTTTCATCTTTCTGTTCACACATCCTTCATAGAGGTGTGTCCACTAGCCCCATATTAGGAAGGTGTTTCCTTAGTTGACAGTGGCCAGTCAGAAATCCTACTGTTAAACGTAAATTGTTCCTGGTCATCGCCAAATATTTCTTTGGCGCCAGCTTCCCAGGGTCGCCCAAGGTGATCCTGGCAAGATTGCATCATTTGATTTCATCCCATCTCTTTAGGGATTCAGCATGGGTGTCACGTTTGGCTAGTTCCGTAATTGTCGAATTCATCTGGCCGTAGGTGCTACAGGGTCCTAAAATTCTCAGTCCAGCCGATTCCTTGGCTAAAGAGTCGGCAATGCGATTACGTTAACTCCTGTCGTGCCCTTCAATCCACATCGAAATAATGTAATTTTCTATTGAGGCTTTGGCTGAATTTTGGTGGCACTCTAGTACTAGCCCTGAGGTTACACGTTGTCTGTTCAAGGCTAATAGGGCTTGTCTGCTATCAGTGCAGATTGTAATGTTTTTGCTAGAAATTCCTTTCCTGGTTTTTTCTTTTGTGGCGATTGAGATACCAGCCAATTCTGTTTGAAGCACGCTGGTATTTTTTTCCATTCTCCGCTTAATCCTTAGGCTTAGTGATTTGTATTTCACTTCATATCCTGAGCCTTCTTTGGTTTTTGAGCCGTCTGTATATATGCGTATTGCATTTGTAGCATCTGACTCTGTGTTCTGTTATATTTGTATTTTGTAGGGTTTATTGAACACAAACGTGGGTTCAATTGCATCACCGGAGGCCTGCAACAGAGGTGGTCCAGTGAGAGCTTCTGGCCTTGAAGTAGGGCCGCTCTTATACCGTCAGGTCATAGGACCACTTGAAGAGGAAAAAGCCCGATATGGCCCATCTTATCTTGTTCTCATCAATTACTGCACTAGCAGATTACCAGTCGTATTGTGAGGGTGTTGTTGGTACTTCTGTCTGGTTTTTCGTTTCAGGAAGAACAGAACATGAGAAGCGAGTTTCCATAAGAATCTCAGCTCTCTCTTGGAGGTTAGCAGCTTTGTCGCCATTTTCCCTCGTGAGGACGCCGATACTCTTATGGTGGTCGTTTGAGAGTGCCTTCTGTAGCCTAGAAGCTAGTGGAAAGTCTTCGACTGCCTCACAATAGGCTCTCCAGGCTTCTCTTTGTTTTTCTCTGCAGTTTTTTTTTGAACCCTCTGAGGATGGTTTGATATATACCCCTGTCCTCTTCGAATTTGACTTGTTAAAGGTCGTTCTCGCTGCTTCCTGAGGTGTTCCAGTTCAGAGCACCACCATATATTGGTTGTGCCATCTGTTTGAACCATCCTCATCAGACAGGATTCCTTGTAGGCAATGTCTATTTGGTTTTGGATACATTCCGTGTACCTTTCCAGTTCTTTATTATTGCCAGGAGTCAGGACCTCTGTTTCCCGCAGAGCTCCTTTTAAGAGTCCATTATAGAGAGCTACATCCGTCCTCTTCAGGTCACGGGATTTTACAATGGTCCTGAGTTTTTGGCTTACCGTATAGGTCAACCAGCTGTGGTCTGACATACGAATATAGTCCGACACTTGCCAGTCCTGGATTTCGTTTGATATTTTGGCTGTCGTCAGCGTGATATCTATTAATGTTTGACTACAGGCTTTGTGCCTCTGTTCGAGATTGTTAGATTAGTGTTATAATTTCCTTTTACTTCTTGTACTTTTTGGAGTATCACCGAATGTCACTTATTTATAGAAAATTCATAGGTGTAATGATTTAAATGAAAGTGGAGTAATTGGTGAAATTTATTTTTGAAACTGCCAATGTTCACTTTCTACTTGAAGAGCCCCAAATTGATAATACCAAAAGTTTTTTTGCAATAGCTGAACCATGCATATATCAATCACTTTTTCTACTATGCTCACCTCTTTCTTGAAATATGCGTATTTTTGAGATTTAGAAAGATTCTTATCATCATTACCATAATTGTGAAAACATTCCATTTACAATTTCAAGTAACCAATGAATATGCCATTCTAATTCTGTCAAATTTTTTGACATGAAAATTTAAAAAAATGTCTGATGACTTCGATATAAAATCTCTTCCTTCTCACTTCGGTAAGTACCAAATAACTATACAAATATATTTTCTCTAGTGAAACCTTTGTATAGTGTCGGTATCGAGACCATCAGAAGTGATAAAGAAATTGAATGAAAAGAGGGAAGATGAACACGATACAGCAATAAAATCAATGAGAGAGCAGATGCAAATTCTGAATATAAAAACTAATGAAGACATTAAGAAGATTTCTGAAATATGTATAGAAAAATTGAAGAGAATGAAGCAAGAAGCAGAAGAATATCTTTCTGGTATAAATGAAAAGTATAAAACTGTGAGTAGACAGTAAATCATTTTTCATGTCATACTTTTAACCCTCTGTTCAATATTCAATACACCTCGTTTTCTGCCACTCCCATCACAAAATTTTTTTTTTTGATCTTTTTCCAAAATATAAGATGAAGATATAAGAGCAATCGTTATGTTGTATTATAGGCCGATTGAAAAAAATTATCCATGTGTTTCATAAAAAATCGCAGATATATTAGATTCGCTTGCTTTGTTTTGCTAGATTCTGTCCGTGACTTTCTTCTGTGTGGAAATCAAAATTGAGTCCGGAGAGAAATGGAAAATCAATAGAATGAAAAATTTCATCCATCTCGCCGTTTCCCCTGTAACAGAGAAAATTCGCTTACCGGTGAAGCGGTAGTGCGCCTAACCAACGATCGAAAGGTCGTGGGTTCGATCCCAACTCTGACTAGGCATTTTTCTCGAGAGAATTCATCTAGTTGAAGTTGGGATGATTCTGAAACGTTAGATGCGATGATGGTACCTAGGTCGGGATGGTACTAACATCACCTACATAAAACACGAAGATGTTGACACTTCCCCAAAAAAATAGCTGCACTTTTGGATTCATAAAACAAGACTAACTGTTTTGGTGCTTGTATTCTCTTCAGGTAGCCTCTAAATTGACAGTGAGTAACTCTATTATTATTCTGGGCAGATAAATGCTCAGTTCTTCAATTATTTTCAGGTTCTTCTCTGTTTCTTTTCGATCCATCTCCTGATCTGGTCCTATACATTTGAAGTTTGAACCCCTACATCTGGTTCATGGTTAATATATGGACATGATTATCCGTGTCAGTGCTACTCCAGATCGACTGACATCACAATCAATTATGAACTGGCTCAATCTTATCCAACAACGATTTCCCCAGATCCTCCCTTACCAGCCATCTTCAATTTAACCGTCTTTGATACTAAGGTTACTTAACGGCAATCATTTTCAGTTGAACACATTCTTCGTGTCTCTCCATGAATCTCTCCCAATTTCACAATCTTTGTCCTGTAGATCCAGAGTTTTTGAGCGAGAGCAACACCAAACTCAACCGTAACCATCCTAAGGACTCTTACTCTGTTGTAGGTTGGCTTGTACTACTCTCATTGAGGGTCAGAAGATTTACTTATAGAGTCCTCCCTTTCTTTGTTGATAACACAAGTGATTCTTTCAGTTTCCACGAGTACGAGAGAAAGGGTTATCCACGTATTTGATGCTCCCTGCAAAAATACAAAGCTAAGTTTTTGTGGATGATATCTGTTGAGGCTCATATATCATTTATCTTCAGAAGGGTTGCCCAGTATTTCAGAGATTCCGCTGGCAATACCTGTTAAGGCTCAAGTACCATTTATTCTCCGACATGGGCCGCATAACACTACTGGATAAGACAACTTTTTCAGTTGCCTCTTAGAATAGATACGGGATACTGTGAACTTATTCTGCTGTGTCGTCAGAGTACCGGGAGTTAAAATAGGACTGATATATGAGTCCTTGGAGATCTTTCACGAACGGCGTGTAGAAAGCAGCTTGTAGGTTAATGAAAAAAATAGCATTGAAAACTCGTATCGATGGTTCTGTCCTGATTTTTTCATAAACTTTTTCCAGGAGTATCCCGCCAATTCTGACAAGCATAGCGATGACGACCTTAACATCGATTACATGAAGTGAAGTGCATAGGCTTATGCAGGAGGAACACCAATAATACAGACAAACGAAGTCTACAGTCTACATTCTTTGGTGGGTACAACCCGCTAACATCGCGGGGGGCATTCCCCACCGCCTCCTCTCGCTGGATCCTACTGTGTAGGACGAGAACACTTTCTACGAATTTGCATGTAACTCACAAGTAACTGTGCAATTGAAACGGAACTAGTTGAAGTTATTTCAAGGTTCAGCGACAATGCAAATGATAGAACTAGATCGAACAGAAGATAGACATGGACTATCATTGAAAACATTTTATCGTCATAGAAGAACTTAGAGTTCAAGATGTGGTGGCGAGATAAATACTGGTATCGAAGTCATGCAACAAATATTGGAAAACAGTATGGTCATGAGGATACAGTATTTTTTGAAGACTTCGAAGGAATAGACAAACCAGGCGGCTTCTCTAGCAGCCAAAAAATTAAAAACAATTCTGACTGCTGAAAACTACCAGAATTGATCTATTGTAGACAAATCATCACACATATCTCAACACCTGTTGAGAGATAACAGATTTTTCTGTTAATCTAGTGTCCAGTCAGACGGTTTGGAATACAAATAGAGTGAATAATTTCTATCACGGAGTATGAATCTAATATGCAGATCTGCTGTTATATTTTTTCTTTGGATACAATAAGCTCATTTTTAAACGTTTTCCGAAAAATGATATCGTCACGTAATTTGAAGAATATTTTCGAAAAAATAAATTATCTGAGTGAATCTCAAAGAAGCATTCACCAAAAGGGGATGTGAAAAATGTTTCATTCACAATAAACCCGGAGATGAATAGATCAACTAATTCTAAGCAACTTGTGTCCTGTTAAAATTTTGGTGAAATTTAATACTTTTCAACTCATTCGCGAGTGTATCAGTTTTCCATCCAACAAACCCATGTTGTCAGACGGTTTTTTGCGAATTATCGACTGTAGAGTCAATACAAATGAAGTAATAGCTTGAATTTCATTAGTTCGGACTTCCATTGTCTAATATGATTCGAAATATATGAAAGAATAAATAAAATTAACATGAATAGCTGAAATATCAATTATATTAAGTAATAGAACTAGAAATGACAGTAAAATCAAAACGATTACTTCGCGAGGTTTTGATTGTTAGTATCTTCAATCGCCTTCGGGTGATGACTGGACTATGCCTCCGAGAGATGAATATTTATAGGTTATTCAAGTGCTTTCGCCTATCCCCTCTTCCCTCTCTCCCGTTCAGAGGGAGGTGACCGTTTGGCGAGAGTTGACCGCATTTCGCTTGATTATAGGTTTCCATATGTTGCGTACGCTAGCTTGACTGAATGCATCATTTGACAACATATAGACAGCTTCTTTGAACTTCCTCTTAGACCAGTTTTCCTCCCTGTGGATGATCTGAGCTTGGAACCACTTGATGTTATGTTAATGAGTCCAAACATACTCTGCTATTCCCGATTTGTTGATTTCTCATAGCTGTCTCTCAGTTTCACCGATATAGGATTTGTCGCACTCACAGGATATCCGATAAATGCAACTCTTGGAAACGCAGTCCGGTGGCCTGATTTTCGAGAGGTTCTGAGAGGTTCTGATGTTGTACTTGGACCCACTTCTTCTTATCCTTTTCAACAATTCTCTGACGTAGGGAAGTACAAGCACTGGTTGTGACGGCTTCTCTTTCTTGCTGCCTTCTAGCCAAAATATGTTCCACCATCACTTTGGAGTAACCATTTGTTGAAAATCTTTTTTCTTGGTGCCTAATTCCTTCTCGAGACCTTCCTTTGTATTACAGAGCCCGAGAGCACGAGCTAATAGAGTCTTGATGATTCGTCTTTTGTATCTTCATTATTTTATTTGTCTTGTATCGTCATTTCACGCTTTTTTTGCTTTATATAATTGATATTTCAGCTATTCATTCAACCTTTTTCAAACAAAAGTGATAGCTTGTTAAAGGATGCATCTCATTCAACGAATACACAAGTTGAAGGTTTCAACGTGAAGTAACCAATAAATAATGATTTTTTTTCTGAAGAAATTCATGATATCTTTTCTATTTTTCTTTTTTCCTTGCAAAAACCTTTACTATTTACTGAAATTGAGCAAGTTAGGTCGAAAATAACGTTGGTCCCTACTTTTTCGGTGACAAAAAATGTGAGAATAACCTCCTAGATACCGCCTCAATCACCACTTCACAATTCACTTCATTCATGTATTTGTAATATACCCTAGAAGTTTTACTGCTTACAGAACATTTTTGTAATTTTCCAATTAATTGTCATTATTTCAAAATGACTGAAAAACTATCAATGATTCTCATATTGAAGCTGACGTATTTTGAAAAATGGTCAATTTTTGCACGTTTTCAAAAATGCTCTTTTCACTTTTACAATTTTTTTTTTAAATTGTCACTGGAAATCTGTCGAACTTCTTAAGCGTATCACAAGTACGTACATAAATTCAATTGTGAAGTGGTAGGGATTATTTTCTATCTGGTGGTAATAAGGAGCGATTTTCATATTTTTTGTCGCCAAAATATGGTGACCAACATTACTTTGACACTACTTATTTTCCACATGGTCCCCTTCAAGGAACAACAGGTGGTTTTCCTTTTTTTAAATTAATATGTCATTTGTGATGTGAATTATTTGTGTTCGTTTCGACTTCACTGAGGTTATTTTTTGGTCTCTACACCTACATATTATGTATTATTTTAATCATCCTGCCGCCTAACCTCACATACACTGTAAGTTGGGTTTTTGACTGATCTCTTTTTATAGATCTAATCTGTCTTCTTATCCATATTGTAGCATCCCTGTAGCGTATCACAAGTACGTAAATAAATTAAATTGTGAAGTGGTAGGGATTATTTTCCATCTGGTGGTACTTAGGAGAGATTTTCATATTTTTTGTCGCTAAAATATGGGGACTAACATTACTTTTGACACTACTCGCTCAGTTAGGACTCTAAGGACTTTTAGAATGAAAAAAATAGGCTTATTTTAAGCAATTCAAAATGTTTTCTGAGAGTTTATCCGGAAAAATGCGTTGTGTTTTAGTTACTTCAAGTTGAAACTTTCAATTTTGATATATGACGAATAAGATCCAGCATTCAACAACTCATTAACTCTATTTGTATTGGGTCTACTGACAACATAAGTCCGTCATTGTTTTTGTTTTTTTAAGCCACATTTTTACTAGCAGTGATTTTTTCGAACTTACTTTATTTTTTCAATCAAAGATTGTTTCACTCTCAAGATGGCATCCAACCACTAACAGGGTCTACTTTGATGTAGGGGATAAGTGACCCAAATCCTAATTTTTCTGAAAAAAAATCAGTGCTGTTTCGTAGAGTTGTACGGAGAAAGTTCATTAACTGCTCTATCAGTTTCAGACATTTCTGTGTGAGCGGTGTGAAAGTTCAATTATTTTTTGGTGTTTTGTAGTCATATGCCTTTGTTGGGGAAATGAAAGAATTGTTTACTTATTTAATCCAAAATGCACCAAACAATTCATATGTAACTGTCACGAAAGTTAACAAAGCCTTGCACATATGTAGCTGTGCGAGGAAAGAAATTCATTAAATGATTTTTGTCGTTGTTGCGTTGCGAAGGCCATTTCAATGTGAATACCCACATTTATTTCAAAGTAATGATAAAAAATAAATACATTCATATATACCTATTGATGAACAGGATGGATAGTACACTCAAATATAAAGGTACACTTTCATTTCTCACCGCTGCCAAAAATTTAAATTTGAATACATGGACATCAGAAACGCTTCAAATTATCAAATTTGGATCTTTATTGAAATGAAGCTTCGCTTTATAACAATTAAGACATGGTTCGAAGGCTGTACCGGCTACCGCATATATCTCGTGACGTCATGTTAGCTTCCGACAAACGCGCAGTATCAAACTCTCATATCCTGATATTGTTTAATGCTATTGATTTGGAAATTTTGTCATTGTATTGAACAACCCTATTATAATAATTTTGTACACTCGAATACTATTTTTCCACATAACAGAATGATAATCCTCTGAGCTACTTTCAGTTCGAACTGAATCTTCTTAAGCGCACTGAGATCGATCAGAGCCTATATTTCTTGACAGTATTGATTGGTTATGAATAATCAAAAAATTGTCATCTAGCTCTCCGAATCTGATTTGGAAGAAGATGTAGTAAACAACACATTCAACAAATTGTCTGAAACGAATGAAATACAGCTGAAAACTGTGGATGACCTTCACGAAAAATTAGTAAGCATAGAAAAAAATAGATCTGAAGAATTCAAAAAGATTTTGAAAGTCACGAAAGAGAAAATACAGACAATATCTTATAGACTTCCTTTCAGAACCGACGAATTTTTTGAAAACGAACTTGTGGTATGTAAAAACTTTGTTTTCATTTGTATAATAATAATAATAATAATGTTTATTTCAAATAGAAAAATTAATACAATTAATAAATATAGAATAATAAACATATATGCTCACAGAAGCAAGGGGTTGCTTGTGCGTGAGTGAGAAAAGGTAAGTTGATATTCAGTAAGCATGATATAGAAACACACGTAAACGATAAAATAGTTGAATATATTGACAACACTTATAATTAAAATATATACAGTAAAAGCGAAATAACGATAACACTTATAACTAAAATATATACGATAATAATGAGGAGTCATATTCGAGAAAATTTTATCACAATCGAGGCATTTTGTCGTAATCATAAATTTCATCATATTCAGATTAGAGTATGGAATAATATATAATTTACAAAAGTTATGTTTTCATTAAATTTTGTTGTTGACTATATCACTAAAAAACAGTCTTCCGGTGGTTTGCATCCAAATTTTCAATTTATGTTTGAATGAGTTAATGTTGTTGATCAATTTAAGTTCTGGAGGAAAATTATTGTACAATTTATGACCTAAGAAGCTTGTACATCCTTGTCCAAAATTTTTTTCACATTTGGGAATTTGCACAGTTGTATTTCTCTTTCGAGTAGGATAACTATGATCGATGGCTTTCAGTTCAAGGATAACTATGATCGATGGCTTTCAGTTCAATTTTAGATTTTTGTATGTTGATAATAACGTTTTGGCAGTATAATTGTCTTATATCTAATGTTTCACTCAAAAGAAAGAGTTCGTTAGAGGAAAAGGTAACTTTTTTTTGTGAATAATTCTCAGAATCCATTTTTGCAATACATTCACCTTTTCCAGATGACGATCAAGTACTCCACCCCAGCCCATTATTCCATATGTCAATTGGGATTGGATTAATGAGTAATATACGATTTTCAAGTGATGTATATCCAAAAACTGTGTTCAGCATCTGAATCTACCAATAAGACCTCTAATATTTTTTGTTATATAATTTTGTATGGTTGTATATATAAAATTGATTCATATAGGTGATTCCACTTATGTTTCGCTTGCGTTTACGCAGCTATTTTTATCAAGTACTTTCTTGGTTTTCCTCATTTTGTCTTTNCATATAGATTTCTCAGTTGAGGTTAATTGGTAATGCAAGATGTGAATGAAAGATAACGAGTTTTACCTATATTGAGCGTCGATTTATAATACTGAAACCATTTTTTAATTAACTGAAAATCCGTTTCGGCCATGACATTCATATCTTCCCATCTGCGGGCTGCATATACTATCGTTGTATCATCAGCAAAGTTGAGAACTGTTCCTCTTATATTCATAGACAATGAACTATTGAACGTATAGTCCGACAAACTCGTTTCTCGACAATTATCGGTCGATAAGCGATGAGCAAAGTGGCGGAGCGCATAATCCTCAAATGACTCGAGGACTCTACCGAAGAACTGAACATGTTACCGGATGAACAGTTTGAATTCAAGCCGAAATACCCAATTGAACGGCATGTCTTGAGATTAGTCGACTGTGCGACAGAAGCTTTTATCCTGGGTTAACGATACCACACAGGAGCGATATTCCTTGATGACTCCAAGGCGTTCGACACAGTTTGCACGATTAACTCGCGGACGAAATGACTAATTTTGGTTATACGATCACAAAGGAAACACAAATCGACTTTTTTCCAGCCGACAGACAATGCCAATGCGGAGTAGAATAGAAACTCTCCATCGGGCGACTCCTGAGAGCAGGAGCCCAACAAGGCGCAGTTCTTTCACCCCACCTCTTCTCGGTATACACACAAGATGTGCCAGAGAACAACTCCAACTCGTGAGCTTTCTACGCGGACTACACAGCACTGCTGGCCAGATCCACCAGTCATCAGCTTATCATAGGATATCTGCAACAACAAGCGGACATTAGAGGACTGGACCAATCTCTGGAAAATTTTCCACAGAGCACTCTGTTAATGCTCTTTATTGCGGACATGCCGAGATCATCAGTGCATTTTCTCTGTTCTGATCTGAAATCTACGACCTCCACAACGGAATATTCATTTTTTTCATTTTTCACCACTAAAATGGTGCCCAAAATGTCACTTTCGGAGCGTATTTTCAAAATATTGATTTGCCACCAATATATTCAAATAGCTCACAGAAAACACAAATTTGAAATTGAAATATTGTCCTAGCCCTATTGTCGAAAAAACTTTTTTTTCAATCTGCTTCTTCTCACTATTCCATTTCCTAATCTGACGATCCATGACTTCTGTTATCTATACAGACTACACGAGTATCTCCGAGAATCGACGAAGCATTTTCATCGCTTGTGTCAGCTTCAACATCATTTTAAGTTCCGTTTGTGTTCGACTATATTGCAGAATTGCTACAGCGTTGAAGATTCAGCAATCAGAACTTGTTTCTCTGAAAATCACCGATATGGTGGTGATCAAACAACATAATCAACCCCTTTGGAGAAGGTTATTCGAAGAATTGCAAAATTGCACCACAGAAATGATAAAATAGCAAAAGAGGCAACCGTTAGAACTGAAGATAGATTCATTAAACGCTCATTTGTCCTTCATTCAGACATGTTTCTGTATAGTTGAGTCCAGGTAATGTTTTCGTGGTTCAGCCTAGCACCACTGATTATACCTGGTGGATCGAAACAGCGTTGTCTGGTATGAAATCTAGTTCCATCTCCTTACAACTTCATGTCAAGAGAAAATTTTTATTTTTTCACCAATATAATTCGCAAAAAACATTCATACAACTGGTTGATTTAATTGTCTGAAGAAATTTCATTCAATTGAAAATAGAGTATTTTTTAAGAGACCGCTCCATGCTAGGGGCGATTGAAACATCGATTAGCGTCAGTTGAAACCCATACAAAAAATGCAATTTATGAACTTTATCAATACCTTTCTAAAAACAAATGAACTTTGAAAATAAACCAAACGAAAGAGCTAAGTTACGAAAGAGACTCGAAAATAGAAATTCTATGACTGAGCTAGAATTAGAGGCTTGGACAGCTTTCGTCTCTATGATGCAGAACTTTCTCGGAAAAAGAAGATTAGAATATTATGTTGCGCTTGTAGATGACCTTCTTTTACAATTAAAAACTTGGGGTGCTATATGAGCATAAAACTTCACTTCCACCATAGTCATCTGGACAGATTTCCGGAAAATTTAGGAGATAAGAGCGAAGAGCAGGGAGAGCGTATACATCAAGACTTACGCAATATGGAAGAGCGTTATCAGGGTTTCTAGGATACTAATATGATGTTTGATTATTGTTGGCCTCTGATGCGGCATTTTCCTCAGACTACAAACCAGGGAAAATCTTTAAAGAGAAATTTTTTAGAACTCAATGAATATTTAATTTTTTTACTAAATACATGTTTTTTCTGTTTTATATCTACATAGCCGAAACTCAGAAACTAGAGCTGATATAAAAATTTCACTTATATATTCAAAATCAGGATATCAAATGTAGCGAGCAACAGCTAAAATTTTATCGGCAACAGATGTACTGTAAACTAGTGTTATCGTTCTCAACTTAGTTCTCACTTCCTAGCGTTACATATGTAAAAAGAATCTCCAATATATATTAGATTATCACTTATACCAGTTGGTTGAAATGATTGTTTGTTCCTAGTTCTTGGTAGATACCAGCAAAACAATGCAAAAACCCAATGTTTTATCACTCAAATAATAATTTTCATGTCTTAATGCTATTCAAAAATGTTTATCCAATTTCAATACGTTATATTTTGAATAGTATCGTGTAGTAAACCGTCAATGGCATATATACTGTTGATTATACTGTCAATATTCAGCATTGTTTATCAAATTTCCTATCATTCTTTAATATCCATAATTTGGGTAGTAATTACGTGAATTAATACATCAACACAGATCATTTGATGTTCATTTGAGTTTATATTATCAAAATATCCCAAATATGAAGATTCACTATGTGACTGATATTGACTCCCAGTTCAAATATGGAACCTCACCGTTTGCTATCCTTGGAGAAGTATTCGGAGGACGATCCAGGGCGGCAAACATATGGTGGGGGAAATGAGGATGGTGATGAGGCATGAATGGTCCATGCGGATAAGGATGTCTACCTCCTAACATTGCCCATTCTGGTGGATGACCTGGTAGGCCCGCCAGATGGTGTGCTATTCCTGAAAGAAAAATATATTATTTATCTTTTGTTGCAGAATCTTGCGGAAGTGATCGTAGTGGGTGTGATCAAAACCTGAATCGAATTTTTATCTCGTTTTGCTCCAGAGGCAATAATAATAATAGCCTTTATTACCCAACCGTTAAAAACCATTTACAGGGTTAACTAAGTAAGTTAAAAAAGTAATATAAATCCTATAATTACAAAGTTACAATTTGAGAAAATGAAATTATGATATAATAAAATAAAATAAAAAAACTATACCAGAAAATCAAAAATTATCTATGAAATACTGAGATGCAGTGTCAACAATATATTCTAGGGAATCAAAATTGATATCACACAAATTGAAAATTAAATGGAAATCATTACAAATGCTTAAGATAGGTGACTTGGGGTACAAATTATTTCTGGCCAGTCGGCTGTAAAAAGTTCATATACTTCTAGTTCTAAAATTAGGAACAGGTAAATTTATAAGAGATAACACCTCCATAACATCCACATTGTTGTGCAGTAATTTATATATACAAAAAATGTATTTCAGCAAGTTTTTAGCGTTATTGAAGACTTTCAATATTGAATGTTACGGTAAGAGATTCATATGGATAGATACCATAAGATTTGAAGTAAATAAACTTCAGTCAACGACGTGGCACTTTTTCAATTAATGTATTATAGCAATTGTAAAATGGAGACTTTAAAACAGAATCATATTTTAATTTTGATTTTACTTAGACTACATAAAGATCATTGATGTTGATCATTGACTACATAAAGAAATTGATGTTGGAAAACTTGACATAATGGAGGTCATATAGTTAGGTGAAATTAACAAAATATTCCTTCCGAACAATTCATATTGAATAGAAAAGACAACCTAATGAAGAGAATAGAAAAATTCTGTTGTTTTCACTGAAAACGGTCATTTGGTAACACGTGTGTCAAAGATATCCTTTATAAAAAAACATATATCAGTATTTGAGATATTATATGCTAGCATGGGGTGGATTTTTCAACAGCCACATTATCAGCTCAAAAATAGCACAGAACTCTATTTTTTAAATTATATAGACTAATTTAATTAACGTAAGATCATTATCTGTGTCTAATATGGATTTTCTCGAAATTTTGCAACTCTTTATACAATAGTAAGAACTAGAGCACTCGAGAAAAGTATGAAAAAAATTCATAAATTCAAATTTGCTCTCAAGCGATTCATTATCGAAAACTCAAAAAAAGTTTGACATATACTGAAAAAATTAATAAATGTCCTACATTGAATAACATTTCTTATACCATACAAGCATATACTTAACGTACATCCACTCATTTTTGTTTCCTTCATGAGTTTGAATTTCTTTTAGTAATTATATTACCTACCATAGAGCAGTTTTTAGTATTGTCGTAGTGTTTCCTTAAAATGCACATATAGAACTCTCATCTGAGTGAGTAATATAACACAATACAGGCATTTCAATGCCTAGGTAAAAGATAATTGAAGTCGAATAAATTATTTCTATCATACAACAAATTATATATTGCCGTGAAAATTCCACACCTGTAATTTTGAACCAATCGAAATACGTTATTTTGACAAATCACCATGGCAATGAAGGTATTTTTTCTCGTGGGATACCCAACAGCGTATTATACTGGAAATTTTTTGACGTTTACAATAACAGACCATTTTTGACACATTGGTTTTTATTTGTTCACATAATATTCAGTTTTGATACATTTTAATTACTTTTTTCAGCTGATCCTCAGTATGGAAAGGCACAAAAAAACTAATTCGCCATCTTCAGTGGTCCGTCATATTGAATTCAGAGTTATATCGGAGTGAAAATTTTTCGTAGTCTTTTCACCAAACTCTTTCATCTGATACTCATATCATGGGCATGCAGATGTCACATGAGTTTCAAAACGTGGAATATGGCAATGTTGTTGATTGGCTCCTGGAACATTCGAAGGAATTATCTGACATCAGTCTGTTGCTATGTCACCACTATCCATCTCTGGTATCTGTAGAGTAGAGAGGGTGAGTGTAGTCACAGCACTTAGGCCACATGTGACCCATTGTACATCCTCCCGAGGAGTTGTCCTCCTAGGTCATCGTCCATCCTGTCATTTCCAGCAAGGTGAACAGGTCACTAGGATACATCTCCTTTATATTGGCAGGTGTAAGCCAAGACTCGCCCAACACACACTCTTTTTGGCAACCTTGAGGTGTCTCACGGTGGCCGCCGCGAAGGTTTTGGAAGGTGCAGCGATATTACTGTCGTTGCGCGGCTTCTTCAACCTTCTTGGGCTTCCCTTCGTGGAGGTGCACAAGTGAAGGAGCTTTCCTGCAGGGGCAGCTGGTTTCTTGCCTTTATTCAAGGCAGATCTCTTGGCGCCCGCCGCAGGAAGTGCTCTTGCTGTTGGAGGTGATCTGCTATGTTCAGCCTCATTCCAAGCGGTAGATTGGGGTGGACATTTCTGTTTATCCCCAGCCACCGCCTTAGATTGAGGTGAGCACTTCTGTCTAGCCTCGGGATTGGTTTTTGTTTTTGTTGTTTCTGTTGTTTCATTCATGTGTGTTCCCACGAGTAGCAAGGGAAGAGTCTGTCACCTCTGGCAGAGCTCCGCATTATCAGAGGTACGCCACTATCCATATTTTTCTTCAAGATTGGTAGCAAATACGATCCATTTTTTGGGAGTAGTTGGAAATGAACTTCTCTTCGTTTATAACACTCTTTTTTTTTTCTCTCCACTCGATGTTCACAATCGGACTTGAAAATATCAAAAGTTTTTGCAGCATAAAATAGTTCAACGAAATCAAATCTGTAGAATTAGCAGTAACACCCATTTGTTTCGCGTCTGCCGATCCACCCACCCAACTATTATTGCCATTATCTAGCAAAATTTTGCAAGTTTAACTTTTCTGTAGAAATTTGGCAATGAAATCAAAGGGGCTCCAAGTGTAACTCTATATTATTTTCCGTTACAATTTTCACCTCATGCCTTTTTCTTCACCCTCCATTCGAAGGTCCTTCTGTTTTGAACAATGTTTTCAATTCATTTTCTGAAAGCATGTTCATAGTCACCGTCGCTATACTTCTCACAGCTTTCGCTTTATAAAAACTGGCCCATTTCAATAAACTGATGGATGTAGCCGTTACTACGTCGTAGGAAATCATAATGAAGGAAAGAGAATAGAAACTTTCTATGTTTTTACCACCTTTATTTGTAACTAATGTTACTGCAGTTTCGTTCTATTAGGACATTTTCAAACTTATACATGTATAAGTTTGAAAATGTCCTTATGTATACCTTATACATGTATAAGTTTGAAAATGTCCTTATAGGATGAAACTGCAGTAAAGTTAGTTACAAATAAAAGTGGTAAAGAACATAGAAAGTTTCAATTCTCTTTTCTTCATTACTGTTTCATTTCATTGTTTTTTTCTCTTTCAAGAACGACACGCAAAACTAGATATGGTCTGGTCAGTAGGGTGCATGTCCCAACACAAGGATCACAAGCTTAGTCAAAAATGAGTTGATAATCAGTTCAGTATGTATGGGCTGAAGCGTTGTCCTGATGAAGCATCCACAACTTATTCGCACACAGCTCTGGTCGCTTTCTCCAAGGATGTTTTCATCCGTGTTCGAAGTTGAAGGGATTCATGGAGGAGGATCATCTTTGATGCCTTCTAGCCTTCCGTTGAAAAATTTCACTCGACACGTTGCTCAATTGAAACGCCTACCATTTTTCCGACAAATGGCAGATACGCGGCCCAACACGAACAAAGTCTGTGGTCCAACTGAGCAAGCTAGTGTCATCCAACTGGCTGGAATGAGAAGACTTTCAGGCTCGTCCCTGTATTTTCTCTGTAACTGTATACCTCATGTAAAAAATTCATGAAAGCTTATATTAGTTGCTAGAGTATTGAAGATCTTTTTATATAAGGTTGAAGAGAAATATATGAAATTATACTCAAATGTCGCGTTGAAATTAAAATTCGATGTGTTTCGAGAATTTTCAATAGCATTGTTTATTGGGCTGATAATGAGTTCATACGTTACTTTACAGACAAGATGCCTATACTTTCACTTGAATCTCACAATGAAGAATTGCGTAATACTTTTATCATCAACTTTCGTAAAATATTTAAAGGATTTTATTACCGAAATCGACTAAAATCTATTGATTCTTCACTGCAATTCAATTTTTTCAGAAAATGAAATAATAGTGTGTTTCTCCCCAGATTTCTGTATATTCCAAAAAATATCTCTTCTTATTCATATATATTCCTTACCAAGTTCACGCATATACACTCATCAATTGATCTTTATTTTTCAGTCAGTTGTTCAAGCAAGTCTTATACTCGTACAAAAAAGTATTTCTTAGGCAAAAAATTGTATATGGAATGATTTTCATTATAACACAGGTATCACCTTGAATTCTTCCTCGCCAAAGATTTTTTTCACTCGTGGAGGATGATGAGTTCAGAAAATTGAAGGAAAATAGTTCGAAACACTATCAGAACTATCGAAAATTGTAGATAAAGACACATAAATCAACATACTCTCAGCATTATTTTTGATGCTTCAATATCTTAAGCGATTTATAGAATAGGTTGTGCAAGGAGAAATCAACAGATGAACTTCTTGGATTTATCATCCTCATTAGAACATATCTACACAGAACCAAAGTTCCACATTTGAAAAAATGGAAAAAACTTCAGCTTCATATGACAAAACCAAAGTATAGACTCAATATCAAGTAACACTCAACATATTGTTGTAGGTAGAGAAGTTCCCGTTAGCTTAAGGCTGGTGAGTAATAGCGATTTAAGACACATTTTGGGACCTGATGAGATTCATAGTCAATAAAACCTTTCTCAAAATACTTTTCATGTAGAGATAAAATTAGGCTCCCAATCCTGAGGATGACAATATTTTTCAAATGAAAAAATTATATTGGCTCTTTTTCAAGTTATGTAACAAACTGAAGATGAATTAAAATTCATTGCTGAAGAAATTGAATGAAGGGTAGATTACAATAAAGAATAAGAAATAATATTTGACATTAATGAAATAACATATGGTGACTGATACTCAAAATACTCTTGATAAGTGATGATTATCAGTATAATATCTAAAATCATGATTCGATTGTAATCCACATAAGCTTGTCATTTGAATGATGAAAAAGTTAATGAATGTGATATAGTTTGATGTGGCTTTTTCCATATTTGGTATTTCTGAATGGAAAACCATATTACCTGTATTTTATATACAGGGTGTAACATAAATACGTTAAAATATCCAAGGGGCGTATTCCTGAGACAATAAAAAAAGGTATTCAAACTTGTGCCTGGAAATGCTTCCTTTCGAAGATACAGGGTGTTGAAATGTTTCACATTTCCGGACACAAGTTTATATAGACTCATTTCTTTGAAATTGTCTCAGGAAAAGTTCGCTTGAGTATTTTAACGAACTTATATTACATCCTGTACAATATCAATGAAGTGGGCAACGAAAACTTCCATTTGTTGGAATGTGTGAAATTATGTTCCTGATTTAGATAAATCGTCCATCTTTCGGTATTTCGAAAGCTCCATTATAAATAAGTCTCAGTTACAACAATTATACTTTTATTTACAAACATAACTTCCTACAATAAATGATGATAACAATTTACATTTATGTACAATTCATATTGAATGTGAAAACAACATGTACCATTCATTTCAGTGGTAATTGGAGGGACCAAAATTCAAATACATTCCACAGTGAAATATATTTCTGTACATTCCAAATCAATGATATTATTCAACAGTTATTTCAATGAGTTCAACACACAACAAGAGTGTTCATAACCATTTGTTCTTGTATATGGTAACGAGATTTCGAATCAAAATGCCGGAAATTTTGTAAACCAAAGCCGTGAACTCTGATGAAAACATTTAATTTCAGAAATTACTGATCAACACTGAACTCAACTGACCCTTTCTTCAGATTTCAAGATCAAAATACAATCGAGAAACATTGCACAGTTTAAAAACTAGTATGGCCTCCACACATGTCTAGAGCCATCTCGTGAACACTTCGTCTCGTCTTTATCACTCGAACTCACAACATCTTTTTGTCTGACCGAAGACGCAGAGCTTTTTCTCAATCTGAGACTCAAATTCACACCTTCGGAACTTTTGCTGTCCTTGTCAACACTTTTATCAACAATATCTTTGAGAGCATCTTTAACGTCTTCGTCTTTAACATCGTCGTCAACCTCAGTAACGTCCACTTTGTCACTGGAACTATCCGGATTCTGAGAAATGTCTTCTTCGGGTGAATTCCTCGAAAGTATCGAGTTGTTTCTGAAATTGATCCAACTCCACTCGTGCGGGTAGAGCTGGGAGTAGAACCACTGTCCTGGTGGGGGTAAAAGTGGTGCATTGAGAAACAAACTGGCAGCAAGGGCGTTGTTGAACAGGTGGTTGTTTTGTAAGGGTGGAGGTGGTATTCCTGAAAAGGTAGGGGGTGGTTGTGGTGATGGAGTAGGAGATGCAGTAACAGATATGTCGTCTTCCTCTGGCGAAGGTGGAGCGTCGGCTGTGGTCAGAAGTCCAACTTGTGTGTTGGGTGAGGCTTTTGGTGATGTGGTACTGTGGGCACTGCTGCAGTTTATTGATATTGGACCCAGTGATGTTGAAGATGCTTCTGTGAAGAAATATAGGTGTAGTTAATATATTTGTTGATTTTATAAGAGAGAGGAGATGGAAGGCATATAAAATAAAAGTCAAACCATTTAGTTGGTGTGAAAACAATGTGTTAATGGTTGATAGTGTTTACTTATGACCTATTTTCATCAAATCGACCCTCAACAGTTTTTGTGCGGCTTGAGTTACTTTGTTTTCGATTTTTACCATTTAAACTTATTTCTTCTTCGATAACGTTCGTGTTTTACAGTGCTTAGATTAGTATATAGAGTTTTTCCGATATGAGTAGTTCCAAGAGACGTTGTTTCAATAATCTAAATAATTTTTGGTATATATATGCAGAGAATATAATGCGTTGGACAAATATACAAGAGCTTTATCATAGTTGGTGAAAAATAACTATTTTCTGTATTTTGGGATGGCCTTGGATGAACAAGAGAAGTCTTGGGCTCCTGATTGTATTTGTAAATCGTGTGTGGAATATTTAAGATCATGGAAAAGTGGTAAAAGAAGTGCCTTTAAATTTGAAACATCAACTATTTCTGTTGCAGTCTCAATATAAACGGTTTAAACACTAAAAATCGAGCTAAATGACAGTATTTAGATACTAATTGTGTTCAACTTCCAGTGCAGCGTTTACCTGACATTTTAGAATGATGCTGATTCCCAAAACGAGTAAGATGATCTTGTAAGAAATTCAAATCTCTCTAAACAAGCTTCAAAATTGTTGGTATCAAAGCTAAAAGAAAAAAATTTGCTCTCTTCAGATACTTAACGACGTTATATTTCTGTATTGCATTTCCTACAGACGTTAAAAACTTGTTGAAAAAAATGTGGTTGACAGAATATGAATCAAACGATGGGCGTTTATTCATTGACAGCTCCAAACGTAGTCTAAAATGTATTCTGTTACACAACGGAAATTAACATACTTGGTAGCCTATTGCCCACTGAACAAAGTTAAAAGAAGAATATTGTAACATCTCGCTAGTTTTAGATAAAATAAAATACAATGACCATGAGTGGCAAATTTGTGTTGATTTGAAAATGGTTCCACTAAGTTTCTCTGTTTTATATATCTTTGGGACAGTAGAGCTGAACAAAAATATTGGATAAGAAGAAAGTGACCCATGAGAGAAAATACGACACCTAAAAAGCACAATATAGTTCAGAATTCATTAGTAGGTCATGACAAAATTATCCTTCCGCCATTGAACATAAAACCGGACATCGTGAAGCAATTTGTTAAATCATTAGATACAGATGGGGACTGCTTCTCTTACGTTTGCCAAAAATTGCCACGGCCCACTGTGGAAAAGATTAAAGTCGGTATTTTTGATGATCCGCAAATCAGGTAACTTACGAAAGATAGTCAATTTGGAAATTCTATGACTGAGCTAGAACTAACGGCTTGGACAGTTTTCGTCGTAGAAAAATTGGGGTGCAATGTGAGCGTAAAACTCCACTTCCTTCATAGTCATCTGGACAAATTTTCGGAAAATTCAGGAGATATGAACGAAGAGCAGGGAGAGCATATGCATCAAGACTTACGCATTACGGAAGAACGTTATCAGGGTTTCTAGGATACTAATATGATGTCTGACTATTGTTGGTCTCTGATGCGCCGTCATCCTCAGTCTACACATCAGAGAAGAGCTTTGAAGCGAAATTTTTCAGAACTCAATTTTAAATTAAATTTTTTCTTAGTAAATAAGTGTTTTTTCTGTTTTATATCTACATAGCCGAAACTCAGAAACTAGAGCTGATATAAAAATTTCACTTATATATTCAAAATCAGGATATCAAATGTAGCGAGCAACAGCTAAAATTTTATCGGCAACAGATGTACTGTAAACTAGTGTTATCGTTCTCAACTTAGTTCTCACTTCCTAGCGTTACATATGTAAAAAGAATCTCCAATATATATTAGATTATCACTTATACCAGTTGGTTGAAATGATTGTTTGTTCCTAGTTCTTGGTAGATACCAGCAAAACAATGCAAAAACCCAATGTTTTATCACTCAAATAATAATTTTCATGTCTTAATGCTATTCAAAAATGTTTATCCAATTTCAATACGTTATATTTTGAATAGTATCGTGTAGTAAACCGTCAATGGCATATATACTGTTGATTATACTGTCAATATTCAGCATTGTTTATCAAATTTCCTATCATTCTTTAATATCCATAATTTGGGTAGTAATTACGTGAATTAATACATCAACACAGATCATTTGATGTTCATTTGAGTTTATATTATCAAAATATCCCAAATATGAAGATTCACTATGTGACTGATATTGACTCCCAGTTCAAATATGGAACCTCACCGTTTGCTATCCTTGGAGAAGTATTCGGAGGACGATCCAGGGCGGCAAACATATGGTGGGGGAAATGAGGATGGTGATGAGGCATGAATGGTCCATGCGGATAAGGATGTCTACCTCCTAACATTGCCCATTCTGNCATTTATCTAGAGGTGATTTCAAATCGAATGAGCTATCGCTCATATCTCTCTATTTTTCATGTTTCTGAACTTGTTGATTAGACTATGAACAATTTTCACAAACATTTTGATTTCTACACCCTTTTCACTAACTTCATAGCTTGTTGCTCAGTAGAAATCAAAAAGTTAGTGAAAATTGTGTAATTGTCATGGAGAGTTATTAATTTTCATCAAGTAACGTGTCAGTATATTCATAACCTCTTTTGTCAACGAGAGAAAATACGGAAATTTCAGATTTCGAACAGATTTTTTTTCAAGTGTCTCAGAAACACCTGACAATCTAAGAACAACCTGGGATACCTTACATCAACACATCTTGCAGAGAAAACAATGTTGAGTTTTCTGTAGATTTGATCGTTGAATTTTTTCAAAATAATACCAAAAACAGATAATCATGATTCAGAATATTATTCAATTCAGGTAGCATAATCATAGTGTTTAAATTATAAGTATCTCAATTCCATACTCATGTGCATATGAATTCGATTGTCATTTCTTCAGGTATCGTTATCGTTAAAAATATTCAAAAAATCAACTTTATAAGCGTTCATTTATCGTCATTTCCCTTTTTACGAGTACGTACTATTTATAGATCCCTCGTAACAATCTTCCAAATGAGACCGAATGAAGGTCTATAAGAACCTCAGTTAGCCCATGTACGAATCCCCAAATTCAGAATTAATGATGGCTTTTATTGAAACTTCAATTTCTTGATTAGTCCGGCCTCCCTTTTGTTTTTCTTCCTTGCACCCTCGCTAGATGTGAATTATTTTCACAATTTGTCTCGACTTAGGGGAAGTCCAACGCATGCTGCGACAGTAGAAACATTATCGTGGATTTTAGCGACACAAATCAAAATGATCAACATAATCGGTGAAGCATTGCTCCCAAATAGCCTCAAAGTGAGGCAATGATGAGAGCTGATTAAGGAGCAAAAAATAGAGATTCATAGTATTTTCAATTATGGATTCAGCGAATACATTCACGTCAAATATATTGAAAAAAAATAATTTNCTTCAATATGTTAAGACTTCCACAATCTGAAGAAAAGTAAACACTATTATAAATAATTTAGCAAACCCTTTCGTTTTATAACCATATCATGATTATTGAATTGAGAGTGAAGTCATGTTATTTTTCGAATTATTTTTAGCAAACCATTTCATTTAATATCCATATCAGGAAGGCGCATGAGCAAATAGTCCACTGTTTTGGTCGGACGGCCATATTGGATTTTGACTGACGTAATGTTATATTTTGTTTTATTTTTAGCAAACATTTTCAGCTGATACTCAGCATGGAAAAGCACAAAAAAATAAATTCGCCATCTTCAGTGGTCCGTCATATTGAATTCAGAGTTACATCGGAGTGAAAATTTTTCGTAGTCTTTTCACCAAACTCTTTCATCTGATACTCATATCATGGGCATGCATGGCTCCTGGAACATCCGAAGGTATTATATGACATCAGTCTGTTGCTATGTCACCACTATCCATCTCTGGTATCTGAAGAGTAGAGAGGGTGAGTGTAGTCACAGCACTCAGGCCACATGTGACCAGGAAGGTAAACAGGTCACTAGGAAACATCTCCTTTATATCGGCAGGTGTAGGCCAAGACTCGCCGAACACACACTTTTTTTGGCAACCTTGAGGTGTCTCACGGTGGCCTTCGTGAAGGTTTTGGAAGGTACAGTGACATTACTGTCGTTGCGCGGCTTCTTCAATCTTCTTGGCGTTCCCTCCATGGAGGTGCTCAAGTAAGGGCGCTTTCCTGCAGGGGCAGCCGGTTCCTTGCTTTTATTCAAGGCGGAGTTCTTGGCGCCCGCCGCAGGAAGTGCCCTTGCTATTGGAGGTGATCTGCTATGTTCAGCCTCATTCCAAGCGGTAGATTGGGGTGGACATTTCTGTTCATCCCCAGCCACCGCCTTATATTGAGGTGAGCACTTCTGTCTAGCCTCGGGATTGGTTTTTGTTTTTGTTATTTCTGTTGTTTCATTCATGTGTGTTCCCACGAATAGCGAGGAAAGAGTTTGTCACCTCTGGCAGAGCCCCGCATTACCAGAGGTACGCCACTATCCATATTTTTCTTCAAAATTGGTAGCAAATACGATCCATTTCTTGGGAGCAGTTGGAAATGAACTTCTCTTCGTTTATAACACTCTTTTTTTTTTTACATGTATAACTTATACATGTATAAGTTTGAAAATGTCCTTATGTATACCTTATACATGTATAAGTTTGAAAATGTCCTTATAGGATGAAACTGCAGTAAAGTTAGTTACAAATAAAAGTGGTAAAGAACATAAAAAGTTTCAATTCTCTTTCCTTCATTACTGTTTCATTTCATTGTTTTTTTCTCTTTCAAGAACGTCACACAAAACTAGATCTGGTCTGGTGAGTAGGGTGCATGTCCCAACACAGGGATCACAAGCTTAGTCAAAAATGAGTTAATAATCAGTTCAATATGTATGGGCTGAAGCGTTGTCCTGATAAAGCATCCGCAACTTATTCGCACACAGCTCTGGTCGCTTTCTCCAAGGATGTTTTCATCCGTGTTCGAAGTTGAAGGGCTTCATGAAGGAGGATCATCTTTGATGCCTTCTAGCCTTCCGTTGAAAAATTTCACTCGACACGTTGCTCAATTGAAACGCCTACCATTTTTCCGACAAGTGGCAGATACGCGGCCCAACACGAACAAAGTCTGTGGTCCAACTGAGCAAGCTAGTGTCATCCAACTTGTAGGAATGAGAAGAGCGGATGTCAGGCAACTTGTAGTTTGACTTTTAGGCTCGTTCCTGTATTTTCTCTGTAACTGTATACCTCATGTACAAAATTCATGAAAGCTTATATTAGTTGCTAGAGTATTGAAGGTCTTTTCATACAAGGTTGAAGAGAAATATATGAAATTATACTCAAATGTCGCGTTGAAATTACCTCAGTAACGTCCACTTTGTCACTGGAACTATCCGGATTCTGAGAAATGTCTTCTTCGGGTGAATTCCTCGAAAGTATCGAGTTGTTTCTGAAGTTGATCCAACTCCACTCGTGCGGGTAGAGCTGGGAGTAGAACCACTGTCCTGGTGGGGGTAAAAGTGGTGCGTTGAGAAACAAACTGGCAGCAAGGGCGTTGTTGAACAGGTGGTTGTTTTGTAAGGGTGGAGGTGGTATTCCTGGAAAGGTAGGGGGTGGTTGTGGTGATGGAGTAGGAGATGCAGTAACAGATATGTCGTCTTCTTCTGGCGAAGGTGGAGCATCGGCTGTGGTCAAGAGTCCAACTTGTGTGTTCGGTGAGGCTTTTGGTGATGTAGTACTGTGGGCACTGCTGCAGTTTATTGATATTGGACCCAGTGATGTTGAAGATGCTTCTGTGAAAAAATATAGATGTAGTTATTACATTTGTTGATGTTAAAAGAGGGAGGAAATGGAAGACATGAAAAACATTCGATAAAAGTCAAATCAGTTTATTGGTGTGGAAAGAATTTGTAACAGTAGTGACATTTGTTTGTGGACACTGAATTTAGTTGAAATAACTCTGTCATCGAGTGTGATTTTGTTCAATAGAAGCTGGACTTCATTTCTGTAGTTACCTGAAAAAATTGGAATATTGGGTTGAGCCCAAGAAATGATGAATTGACACCATTTCAAAAAACTCAATGTTTTATCACTCATATAATAATTTTGATACGTTATATTTTGAATAGTATCGTGTAGTAGACCGTCAATGGCATTTTTACTGTTGATGTAATGTATTTGGGTTTCTGTCATCAAAATGTCCCAAATTTGAGGAGTAAATATGTGATTGATTTTGATTCACAGTTCAAAGAGTATACGAAAAATATGGAACCTCACCGTTTGCTATCCTTGGAGAAGTATTCGGAGGACGATCCAGAGCGGCAAACATATGGTGAGGGAAATGAGGATGGTGATGAGGCATGAATGGTCCGTGCGGATAAGCATGTCTACCTCCCAACATTGCCCATTCTGGTGGATGACCAGGCAGGCCTGCCAGATGGTGTGCTATTCCTGAAAGAAAAACATTTCATTTATTTTTTGTTCCGGACTCTTGTGGATGTGATGGTAGTGGGTCTGACCAAAAACAGAATCGAATTAATATCTCATTTTGCTCCAGAAACAATCGATCTTGGAAACATTGAATTGATGGAGGTCATAGGTGGAATCAACAAAATATTCTTTACGAACAACTCACATTGAATAGAAAAGACAACCTAATGATTTGGAGTGTAACTGTTTATAAGGTTATTGAATATGTTTCTATCTGTAGTGTTCATCCATTGTTTTACATGGTATTTAGAAGAGGTATACCATTTGATAGATTTGAGGTTTGGTTTTCTGGCAGTAAATTGTATATTCTTGCAAGATGTTCTGCTGAGCGTTAACCGGCTGTTTTTTCCCAGGTTGGAACTTTCATGTTTTTATTTTTTATTCGAGTTTCATAACGGTGGTCGATATGTTTTGATTTTATTTTTATGGATATACATTAGAATTCGTTGACAGAATATTTTTTTTGCATCAAGAACATTGGTCTCTGAAAATAGCTTGTCACTGGGATATCTTATGTTCTCCTTCAAAATTATTCTCAGAATTTATTTTTGTATGATACCGACTCAAATTATGTATAATATTTTCTGTTACACCTACCCAACCTAAGATTCCTGAGATTGCACAAGTGCTTAGTACAGTTTTCTTGAGTTTTTCATATCCAAGAATTTCACTAAGTACTTGAATTTTGTGAGTAGACCTCTCAACTTATTTTTCACCTGCTCGATATGTAAATCCCATGTCAAGTGTCCATCATATATGAATATTTCAAGTGACCTTTTTCTTCTATACGAGAGTTATCTCCAAGGGTTCCCAAGTTTGGAAGGTGATTTGGGTAAGACGTGAAAGGCAAATAATATGTCTTTAGAGAATTGACTGTTAGTTCGTTGTATTTAAACCAGTCACATATACTACTCAGGTCTTCTTCTGTTATTGTTTTCAAATCTGTCCATGTTTTCCCCTTGTAGATTATTGCCAAATTATCTGCAAAATTGATGGGTTCACCATCAGATGGTAATGCCATCAAACTATTTATATATATAGTAAATAATAAGGGTCCAAGGCGAACCCTGTGAAATCACAACGGAGTGCAAATTAAAGTGCCCCACCGTTCTTGTCTGTTTGTCTAATAAACTCTAAAACTATCAGACGGATTTTCCAATGTTTCTCAACAATTGACGGAGCGATCCAAAAAGAAGATTTATGAGTATAAATGAATAATCTGTCTTCATCAATATGTCAAAACTGAAACCTATCACGTAAAATAAATCCAAGCAAACCCTTTTCTCAAACACTAGAACTGCAATACTCTACGCGACGTGCGTTTCACTAACCAAGTTGACGTTTCCAGAACTCCAGTTTGTCCAATTTGAAGACCAATAATATCGTGCATTAGCTTGATTCGGTGGAAAAGGGTTTGAATAATCGCGAACCAAGTGACACTACGTTAACCCCTCCAAGATAAATGTCATCCGCCCCCTCATTACCCCGGCAATCAACCCTCCGGAATCTATCTAAGACTTGGAGGAATCGTGAAAAATCCGAAGCATTGTTAACACCAAATTCGAGTCGGTTAACGAAGTTCCCTCCGAGGGATTTTCTAACGAAGTTTTTCACTTGTAAAGGGATGTTTTTTACGCCTTAGGCTTATCTTTAAAGGCTACTTTAATTGTGAGAGGATCTTCTGAATTTTCTTTTCTCCCTCGACTCTAAATTGCCGTATTTATTTTATACTAAGCTCTTTTCTTTTGAATTAGTCTTTCGCTTCTGATTATATTCGCTGGCCAATATTTTTCAATCAGAGTGGAGCATTCATTCGAAATTGGATTTTCGGAAGTGTCGTTTGGTATCTTTCGGGGATTTTTAATACACCGGATACTCTAGGGGAGAGATCGATATGATCTCGAATGTAATAAATCTGGAGAGATATTTTTTTCGTTGAGATGATGAACTATGATGAAGTATNTGCGAGCGCTTTCCATAGTAGGTCATCTTCATGGCTCTACTCAAACTTAACATTTTATCTTCTTGTTTGTTCTTTTATAAGTTTAGAACGCCCCAGTGCAGGAATTTGTCCTCTCCTTTCATCCAGATATCTCTTTAAATTTGCCTGTATTTGGATTACATCAGGTAATAAATATCCTTTGTGTTGGTGTTTCTCTACGTTTATTGTTTCTAGGAATGTATATTTTATTATGTAGTTTATTGAATGTTAGGGTTTGTTGTGTATTTGTTTCTCGATAAGTAAATTATGACTTCTGAATTTATGGATGTTTAGGTTGTTCCAGATGTCCATACGGTTTCCCTTATTGACTCTTATGAGTTTGATATTTTCTGGTGAAGGAAATTATTTCTTAATTCTCTCAAGCATTTTTTCCAACATTTTGATCATAAAAATACTCAACTTCAGTCACATATCCAGACATTTTCACTCTCATTCAAAATCGAATTAGAAACTGGAACAACAATCATAATCGATGATAATCAGTGGAATTAGTCTCTACAGGTAACTTCAGTTATTCACTGTGCTCACTTCAATTCTTTCTTGTATTCTCTCTTAAAACTCTTTTGGTGATTTTTCATATTATCATAAATGATTTTTTATATATAATCACAAAATGAGTTTATCAAACTTCTACATTTGTTTCATACTATAATAACAATTATAATATTATCAATTCTGCTTCAGAGGTTCTATTTTATCTATCTCTGAAATCGATACCTGTATTTGAGTTTTGTTCAATATATATTAAGTAACTATTTATTGATGCTCAACAGTTTATGATATTGAGGGTCGAAATGGAAAACACCCTGTGAAACAGATTCTCTATTTTCCTGCAGGGCTACCACGAAGGCATTTACCAAAACCAAACACATACATAATATGTGAAACGTTCCATTTCATAACCTGTAACGCCTGCAAGCAGATTCCACAATCCATCCAGGCTCCAGACCGAAAAGCTACCCAGCTTTCTGGAACAACGAAACGAGTCCCGGTGTAGGAGAACGCGCTTTCGGTATAGATCTTGATAGTAAAGGTTAGCACGGCAGTCCTGCGGGCCGCCAATGGGGTTTGAGGTACCCCCTCTCTAACCAATGAGGCATCTTAAGGTCAACCCTTCACCTAACTGGGGTAATAAGTGGAAGCGAGCGTGAGTTATTCAGCAGGACAGCTGTAATATCGCGCGCCACGTTTTTGGTTGCAATTTCTCTACCGGTGTGGGGAGACTTGGCGTTAATTTTATGTCCTCGGGTACAACGGGGTTTTCAACTTATTGGAGGTTAAATGTTTGTTTGCCGGTTCTGTTTCACATAGCGATCGTACCAATTTAATATTTTTTGTGAAAGCTATTGAAGCCGTTCATACTCTTGTTGGGTTTTCGAAAACATCAATAATAATAATAATAGACGGAAGCATCCTGCACCATATGAATGCCCGTGTAACGAATACTTACTTCTGGATGGAACAACGCTACTCACAAGAAGTTACCTTAGTGGTCATCAGAACTGTCCTCGAAGAACATATTTGCTGCCACGTATATGCTTGCCATTCCCATCTTACTCTAGGCGTTTAGGGTAATGAAGTAAATTTGGACAAAGCTGAATAAATTCGACGTATGAACCAAAACTGATGCATCTTCATAGGGATTTGCATACCAAATAATTCGTTCGATGAAAGAATGATACTGGGTGGAAATTGTAATGTGGCCAGGAGTTCTCTGCATGATACGTCACTATGAAAAGGCAGCAATCAATGCCTTTTTGGTCGAAGCAGCTGCAAAATCAGCTGATTAACTTAGTTCAGTTTTTGATACTCAGCGAAATGTTCACGACTCTGTTCACCGAGTGAGAAAGTATTCAGCAAAAGATCCACATAAAAGCCGCAGAAATCAGTTCAATCTTGCAGCAACACAAGGATAAGCAGATGTATGGGGTCTTCTTCAACAACATTGCTTATCAAAGCATTCGACCTTCGCTTTCTTAGATCGAATGGGCTGAAGTTGGAAACTGACATGTACTTGCTGTCGTCATGTCCAGCATGTGCGATCTTAGCATATATCCATCTGCATAATGTGGCATTAAGAGTGCTAAGTTACCATTCTGTATCTGTATCTGTAGAGTAGGAAGGGTGAGTATTAGCACACAGCACTTAGGCCACATGTGACTCATTGTACATCCTCCCGAGGAGTTATCCTCATAGGACATCGTGCATCCTGTCCTTTCCAGGAAGGTGGACAGGTCACTGGGAGACATCTCCTTCATATCGGCAGGTGTAGGCCAAGACTCGCCGAATACACACTCTCTCATTGACGATAACTCCGGGCACTCGCATAGAACATGCCTGATAGTCTCATCTTACTGTTCACACATCCTGTACAGAGGTGTGTCCACTAGCCCCATATTATGAAGGCAATGTTACCATTTTCGACACTACTACGGTATTGACGAGATAGCAGGGTCGCCTTAGGCTCCAGGGGATATTGAATACGTTTTGGAAATGAGCAGTGCCAAATTTAATGAAACTATTCCTTCCTCACCCTCAGTTAATGATCCTGATGTAGATCTTCTCAGCCATCAGAGTGAGATGTTATTCCTCGTGCAGTTTTTAGCTGCGGATAAGAGGACGAAAAACGGATGAAATATCTAGATTTGCTCTTTGAAGACTCTGTTAAGTGGTGTTTCTGAAAAGCGACCAGAAGCGGTCGTGATTCTAAAAACATCGATTTTAAAAGATCAGCGTGTATGGCATATCACAGGCTACGATTTTGGGGTGTAAACGTTCTGTTCCAAATGAATTTCAAACAAATCGACTGACGCTTTTGTATTAGTATTTTGGTAATTTCAATCAGATATTTTTTATTATTTTACTATGAGTAGGTACTATATCGTTAGCAAATGCTGCAATATATCTACTAAGTACAAAATTGAATTTCAACTAAAAAAAGTGGTCTCCTCAAGACATCTTAT